GGAACCCAAGGTCAAAGAGGGTTGAACGAAGAGTGTCGTGCCACTCACGAGGAGCCTGACGAAGACCGTAGATAGGTCGCCTCAGCCTCCACTGGGTCCCAGGTTGGAAAGTGTCAGTGAAGGCAGAGGGAGGACGCAGCCAGACCTCCTCGTGTAAGCTACCCTGAAGGAAAGTAGTGGAGAAGTCGAGAGAGTGTAACTAGTATTCTCTCTGTGCTGCTACGTGCAGTAACACCCGAAGAGTGGTCATCTTCGGGGTAGGCGCGAAGATCTGAAAGAAGTCAACTCCCTCGCGCTGACTGAAACCTCTAGCCACCTAGCACGCCTTGAAGACCGGAGGAGATCCCAGTGGCCGCTTCACCCTGTAGATCCACATGCCATCGACTACGTTCGCTCTAGGGGAGGGAACCTCCTTGTCGTAGGTGCCTATGGATCTGTAGGAGGACATCTCTGTGTCCATGGCAGCTCTCCACTGAGAGGCCCAAGGCCCTGACACTGCCTCAGCATATGTGCGAGGAGTCGGTATGTCAAGGGCGCCGGGGTCTCCCTTAGGGGCGAGCAGCATGGCACAGAGATGTGGGGAAGCGGCTGCCAGGAACTCTAGCTCAAACTGCCTGTCCTCTAGGGCGTCACAGCCAAGGGCAGACTCACCCGCGACGCCCAGAGGACTGGTAGGAGGAGCAGCCACAAGACTGGTGGCGTAGTCAAGGCGGCGAGTGGAGGCAAACTCAGTGACTACAGCAGAGGAGACAGAGGCACGAGGGTCGATAATAAGAGAGGCGAGAACACGAGAGAGAACAGGACGGTACGTGCAGTAGTAGTCAGTGACAGGAGTAGAGAGAGATGTTCATTGATTTCAACCCCCGTCCTCGAGTGCACAACCTGCCACCAAGTTCGTAGAGAACGAGGGGAGGTGGAGACCTGACAGTGTGCCCGACGGGACCGCAGGACAGGGAAGGACAGTGGAGGAGGTCGCAATGACCGGACCCCCAGAGGGGTCAGCGAGGGAGACAACACCCGGCCGAGCAAGTGGCTCAAGGGCAGTGCGGTCACGAAAGAAGCAGCGAGAGGCACCTGAGTCCAGTGTGAAGGTGTGCAGTGCTGTAGTCAAGTCAGTACCAGGGGGGGGCAAACGCACAAGCACCTAGAGCAGCAGCCTCACCAGCACCTGGGGTAGCAGACACTCGAGTACCTGAAGCGGCAGACGCACTAGTCCTAATGCCCGGGTCGGGCGGGACACACAGGTACTCAGCACCCTCTCCACTAGTAGACATCACATACATAGCAGTGAGAATAGCATCAAAGTCTAGAGCATAGATATCAATCCCCTTCTTCAGGAGATCAATCCAACGGGGCAGCTCAGTGGCCTGAGGGAACTGAACACGCCAAGCGTCGTTGAGACGAGCGAAGCAACGCTGTGTGGCGTGCGGTCCCCCACACGGCTGGCCAGTGCGGTCACGAGTGCGAATGACGTACGTGCAGCTAAGGCCACCCCCCCCCCCCCCCCCCCCCCCCCCCCTCCGTGCTGAGAGTACCACTCACGGACCTCCTGGGGCGACGGAGTGTGCTGCTGGCCCTAGCCACCGCCAGTGCCTCCACGACCACCACCGCCGCCACCACCTCCTCGACCACCCCAACCCCTGCCGCCGCCGCGTCCACCTCCACCCCCACCACCTCCTCCGCCCCGGCCACCTCCCCTGCCGCTGCCGCCACCCCCCCCACCGCTGCCACCTGCCCCTCCAGTCGCGCCACAACCCCCACCACCACCACCTCCCCCACCACCGCCTCCCCCACTGTCACCGCCACCGCCCTTGCCCCCTTTGCCCTTGCCGCTGCGGCGTCCGCTCGAAGCAGACGCATTCCCGACCTTCCCAACACCAAGGAGGTCGACACCAGCAGCAGAGACGACAGAGGGAAGAAGGGGGGAAGGAGAACACCCCTCAAAGAACGGGGTACGGGGGTCGCCACGAGAGGCACCTACAGCTACTATGCTAGCCTTAGCTGCAAGGAGTTCCTTCTCGAGGAGGGCAATGGTGAGCTCAGTGGGGCAGCAAGCTAGGAAGTGGTCCCTGACTGAGCGCAGAGTGTCAGGGAGGCGCGTGACTAGGTGGTAGAGAGTGAGCCAGAGCGGGGGTGGGTTCGTGGCAAGGAACTCATCAGGCATAGCGGCGCGGAAGCGAGCCTCACAAGTGCGGAGGTGTGTAATGAGGTCAGCGACTGTGTGGAAAGAGGCTAAGTCGGGGAACGGGTAGGGAAGAGAGAGACGGCGTAGTGCGGCAGAGGCCAGTGAGGAGTAGCGGGCAGCGTCAGCAGTGTACAGTGCCTGCGCAGTCTTGTGCTGCCCAAAGTGCTTGCGCTCATCTATCGGCAGAGAGTTGCGAATAGCGAAGCGAGCGTGGGCGTCACGAGTCTGCCACTGTGAGCGGGCAGTGCTGTCAGCAGTAGCAGCAGGAGCAGTAGCGTGGCATAGGGCATGATCGTACAGTAAGATGTCTTCCTTGGCAGTGAGCTGTAGGAAGAGGTGTAGGTCATCAAGCCAGGTTTCGAACTTCACTGGGCGGCCCTCAGTATCAAAAGCTAGCACAGGAGGGCTAGCCAGAGCAGTAGTAAGAGTAATAGTAGTAGCAGTAGGAAAAGCAGTAGGGGCACCCCAAGGACAGGTAGGGCGGCTCGGTACAGGTAGGGCGGCGCGACTCCGTACAGGTAGGGCGGCGCGGCTCGGTAAGGGCGGCGCGGCTAGGTTCGGGCGGCACGGCTCGGTTTGGGCTGGGCGGCTCGGTTCGGGCGGCTCGGTTCGGACTGGGCGGCTCGGTTCGGGCTGCTCGGTTCGGGCGGCTCGTTCTGGGTGGGGCCGTTCGGGGCCTCTAGGGGCGAGCGCGGGGGACCGATCGGGGCCTCTAGGGACGAGCGCGGGGCCGATCGGGGCCTCTAAGGGCGAGCGCGGGGCCGATCGGGGGCTCTAGGGACGAGCGCGGGGCCGTACGAGGCCGCTAAGGGCGAGCGCGGGGTCGATCGGGGCCTCTAGGGGCGAGCGCGGGGCCGATCGGGGCCTCTAAGGGCGGGCGCGGGGCCGTACGGGGCCGCTAAGGGCTAGTGCGGGGCCGATCGGGGGCCTCTAAGGGCGAGCGCGGGGCCGTGACGGGCCTCTAGGGAGGTGAGCGCGGGGCCGACAGGGCCTCTAGGGGCGATCGCGGGGCCAAAAGGGGGCCGCTAGGGGCGGGCGCGTGGGCCGTTCGGGGCCTCAAAGGGCCATGAAAACCGAGGCGCCCTAGGGCGCAGGTAGGTAGGTAGGTAGGTAGGTAGGTAGGTAGTGGTGGGCCCTAAAAAAAATCGGTCCTAGGAAGGACCTGCTCTATACCATGTTGAAATCAATGAACAGGAATGAATGAACTACGAGTGAAAAGAGTACAAGTACCAAACCCTAGAAATGTGTACCCCCTATAGGCTAACCCACTGTAGCCTAAACAACCACAACATATATAATGTTTGACTAGAGAAGCAGTGAAGGCCGACTCAGGAGAAGACGGAAGGAGAGACAGAGACGAACGAGCCAGACTAAAACGAAAGAGGGCGGTACGAAGGTCAGTAACGAGAACAGGAGACGAGGGACGAGCACGAGGGGAGCGACGAGAGGCCCAAATCTGAGGAGGAGGGGACAACGGAGGCTAAGAACGAGGGAAAACAGCCAGGGAGGGGTCAGGAGGAGGAAGCGGAGGACCCGAGACGGGAGGAGAGGGGGAGGAGGAAGGAGAGCAGGAGGGGAGACCGAGGGCCCGAAGACCGAAGACAAGAGGAGGAGGCGACGGCTGCTGCTACGGCAGCGGCTGCTGCTCCTCCTGCTGCTATAGCGGCTCCAGCTGCTGCGCCTCCTCCTGCTGCGGCGGCTCGAGCTGCGGCTGCTGCAGCTGCTCCTACTGCTGCTCCTCCAATCGCTGCAACTCTCTCTCCTCTCTCTCCAACTCTACCTTCTCCTCACGGGCACGGCGAACACGAGTCTGGTGCCATGTCGGGTAGGGGTGGGGGGGAGGAGTAGTGTCGGGGGCTGCGGTGTTGGATGCACGTCATTCTGAATGCATGTCATCCTAACGTCCTGCCGAGTGCTCGTACTATTTGTGCTCGCATGATTTGCATGAGCGTATGTCATTGTGCATGGCTGTTGGATATTATCATCTCTGTGTTTTTCTCCAAGTCTAAATGCTTGATCATGCAGGAGATATCCAGAGCTTTCCAACGACACCAAGATTGCCTTATTCCGACCAAGATCGCCCAAGTTACAAGATTTTCAAGATTTGGATTTCTTATTACCTTTTGGGGTTATATCTAATTTGGGTGATTACTTGGGACATGACTATAAATGAATCTTTGGTTGGGTGGTTAGGAAGGCAACTTTGACTTTTGGATTGGGTGGCTAGACGTTTCTAGCATGTGACACCTCAAGGACCTCATGATGAGGGTTGCATCCTTGCTGCTGGGAAGGTTCCTACCATCCTTCCCTAGCTCTTGGAGAACCCCTTCTCTCTCATGGTTCTCTTGGAGTCTTCAACTCCAACTTTCTATGCTCTAATGCTTGTACTTCCTCCACCATACTAGTCATGCGGCTGCTGGACGTTTTTACTTGGTTCTCACTCTATAGACCATCTTAACGACTGATTCAACTTGGAGATGGTAGCTAAGCCTAAGGCGCAACTTCCTACAGAGCGGATTTGCGTTTAGTTGAGTAATGAGTTCGTCGTAAGCTCTCAAAATGACGGATCCTGAACAACAAGTGGTATCAGAGCGAGTAGTTGACTTTGAGACGATGAATCGTCGTAAATTCTCAACCAATGTTCTCGAGTGAGACCATTTTCTAGCAGCTCTACTTGCGAATTTCGGATTGGTGGTCAAACAGCATTCTAATTCGAAATATCCAGTCCGCGATGGTGATTTTCGTAGAATCAAGATTTCTTGTAGAATTCTCTCCAAACGATTTCTCAAGTTTCTACCGTTCATTAGGCCTCAATATGGTTGGTACGAACTCCGGAGGTGCTAGTGGCGAGATGGATAGAAGTAGAGAGGTTGGAGAGCAGGGGGGAGTTGCTGGTGGAGGAGTGGGGACTCGCCAACCAGCCAACCCTACGCTACCTATTTCTTCTACACCATCTCCTACTACCGTGGATCCTGTGAAAGCTTTCTCTATTGAGAAATTCATGGGGGAGGACTACGAGCACTGGATTTTCTGCATGAGGCTGATGTATACCCAATACAAGCTATTGGATTTGGTGGAGGGGAAGGAGAAGATGCCGGAGGCCGCGGAGCTGAAAAGAGCGTGGATGAAGCGATCGTTCGACGCGTACATGCTCATGGTGCAAGCGGTTGGCGGACGACAACTTGACCACATCAAGGACCTCTTGGGTGATCGAGAGTGTGGCCCCAAGGCTTGGAGGAAGCTTCTGGATGTGCACTCATCGACACATGCTACCGGCATCGTGCTACCCGCCCGGCGGCTGCGCGACATCAAGTTCGTTGATGGAGAGCCGATGGAACTGGTGTTGGATGAGATGCGGGACATCTTCACGAAGCTACAAGGCGGCGGTGTGGTGTACCCGGAGCTCGTGCAATGCGTGGAGATCGTGATACGGCTGCCAGAGTCGTGGTCTGCCCTTGCGATCAACCTCAACTCTCAACAGCCCAAGTGGAGCATGGATTACATACGCGCACGCATCCTAGAGGAGGACCTGCGGTGGCGGAGTGTGGAGCGCTCGGAGGAGGGGGCTGGCTATGGAGTTGGAGGTGGAAAGAGTGGCTTCAAGAAGAAGTGGAAGGGCAAGAACAAGGATAACCCTAAGGAGGATGGCGGCGGGGGTCAAGCTGAGGTGTGCTTCTACTGCAAGAAGCGCGGACATCGTTGGCGGAAGTGCTACCAACGACCCAAGGATTGGACCCCGCTTTCATCAAGCAACCAGCGTGGTGGCACGAGGAGTGGGGGAGTCATGGGAGCTAGTGGAGAGGAGAAGGATGAGGAGAATGGCGGCAAATCTGAGGAGCGGAAGGCCGGGTTCTTATTCTTCGTGAACGAAGGCACAACCGACCACGCTATGGCTGCCAAGGTTCTCCTACACCCCCTCACCCATTGGATGATTGACTCCGGGAGCTCTTGGCACATGACTCCTCGTGCGGACGTACCTGATGAGATTCAGCCCGCACCCATCTCTACAGTCACATCCGCGACGGGCGCCAAGGCCAAGGTCATGGGCATGGGATGCGCCAAGTTCATGGGAGCGGATGGAGAGCTCGTGGGGCTGAAGAACGTGCTGTGGGTGCCGGACTTGTGCGCGAACCTGATTTCTACTGGCCGGTTGGGAGATGCGGGTGTGAACACCGAGACGATTGGCTCGGAGCACTATCGTGCCTACAACGATGAGCGCCTCATTTGGGACCTGCAGTTGAAGGGAGATGTCCACAAGCAGATGTGGCAGATCCCGGTCCTCCCTTGGCGGAAATCGGGCAAGACGGCAGCGGCGGCATCTATGGAGCAGAGTGTCACTGAGGAGGAGCAACAAGGTGTGCAAGGAGAGGAGCTGATTGGAGGAAGCGCGGCGGTGAAGGCGTCAGCTACCTCGGGCCAAGCGGATTGGGAGACTTGGCATCGGTGGCTCGCACACGTGGTTGTTTCTACATTGGAGGTGATGCACAAGGAGAAGTGCGTGCATGGGCTGCAGCTGCAAGGAGATGGCACTCACTATGGCAGCTGCGAGGCATGCATGCAAAACAAGTTTGCGCGGTTCCCATTTCCAAGTGCAGAGGGATCAGCCAAGGCACCATTGGAGGTGGTGCACATGGGCCTGGTGGGTCCTATGAGGACTGAGGGGACTGGGGGAGTGCTGTACTTCCTCACCATGGTGGACGAATGGGGTCGTTTCACGTGGGCACGTCCCTCGTCCAAGAAGAGCGATGCTGCAGCGGCGATCAAGGAGGATTGGTTGCCGATGGTGGAGCGGCAAGCGATGCGGCTGGTGAAGATGCTGATGAGCGACCAAGGTGGAGAGTTCCTTGGAGCAGAATTCACCAAGTTGCTGCTGTGTGGGCTGTCCATCTTGAAATGGCTCCTGACTCGAAGGGGTGGCTGATGTGGGACCCCAAGAGCAAGAAGTCGCTGGTCAGCCGTGACGTCAAGTTTGTGGAGGACGTCATGTACAAGGACTGGTAGCAGCAGCAGCAGGTGCAGATTGGCTTGCGTCCGCATGAGATTGAGCGGTCTGAAGTGGAAGAGGTTCAGCTGCACCTTGAGGATCTCCCTGGGTCAGAGCTGACCAGTGACCACAACGGCGGTGGTGAGCAGCAAGGCGCTGGTCCTGCTGCGGAGGAGGGGTTGGAGGATGAGTCGGCACGTGTGGACTCACCATCTCAGCCCGAGCCTGCTGCAAACATCAAGGTCACCAAGAGAAGTGTGCAGAGAGGAGATTCACCACATGGGTAGCAGATTGCAACCCGCGAGAAAAGAGTGGCAGCAGCACCCTCAAGGCTGAAGTATAGCCGTTTGGGAGGACCCAAGCAAGGTGCCATGGCGGTTCAGGCAGATGAGGGAGAGGATGAAGAGATGGCGTTCTGTTTCTTCACACCTTTGCCTGGAGAACCAGCGACAGTGGAGGAGGCACTAAGTGGACCCCAAAAGGAGGAGTTGAAGGCTGCCATGGATGCGGAGTTCAGCAGTCTCATTGAGAATGGGACTTGGGAGCTTGTTGAGTTACCCGAGGGGCGACGGCCGATCAGCAGCAAGTGGGTCTTCAAGGTGAAGAGTGGAGCTGATGGTGCGTTGGAGCGGTTCAAGAGCCGTTTGATCGCCAAGGGGTTTCAGCAGAAGGAGAAGGTCGAATTTGGGGAGATCTTTGCTCCCGTTGCTAAGCCATTGACACAGAGAACTTTGATGGCTGGCGCAGCTGTGAAGGGATGGCACGTGAAGCAGATGGATATCACCACTGCGTTCCTCAATGGAATACTGCTGGAGGATATCCACATGGCGCAGCCCGACGGCTATGAGGATGGGACCAGCCGGGTGTGCAAGCTAAAGAAGGCCATCTATGGCCTTAAGCAGGCGCCCAGGTGTTGGTACGAGAAGCTGGAGGAGGTGCTGCTGGGTGGAGGCTTCAAGACGTCCCAGGCGGATCACAGCTTGTTTCTGCTTGGAGAGGGGGAGCAGCTGCTTTTGCTGCTGGTGTATGTCGACGACATACTGCTGTTCTCACCTTCCATGGAGCAGATTGAGAGGACACAGAAGCTGTTGATGGACAACTTCAAATGCAAGATGCTGGGGGATGTCCACTACTACTTGGGGCTGCAGATTGAGAGGGATGTTGAGAGGAGGTGGCTGAAGGTGCATCATTCACACTACATCTCTGGTGTCATGGAGCGGTATGGTGTGACTGGGGGTCGCACTGTGATGACAGCGTTCGCTGCAGGCTTCAAATTGAAGAAGGCAGCTGAGGAGGATGATGTGCTTGAGGATGAGCAGCAGAATGAGTACCAATCACTCATTGAGAGTGTGATGTATGCAGCTGTGCATACGCGACCTGATGCTTCATTCGGAGTAGGGCAGATGGCCAGAGTTGTGCAACGGCCCACTATGGAGCAGTTGGAGGTGGCAAAGCGCTTGGTGCGCTACCTTGGATCAACGGCATCTGCTGGTGTTCAGTTTTCAGCTGGTGGCCAGCTGAAACAGATTGGAGCAGATGGGGTCACGCCTAGTACCTTGAAGCTGTCGTGCTTCACCGACGCCACATGGGCCTCAGAGGATGAGGAGCAGTCATCGGTTGGCGGCTTTGTGTGCATGGTCCGAGGTGGACCAGTGAGCTGGAGGTCCAAGAAGTAGAGTGAGATTGCTCAGTCTTCCGGAGAGGCAGAGTACATGGCGATGTACCATGCCATCAAGGAGATCGTGCTCCTGAGGAAGCTGCTGGAGGACATGGGAGCTGAAAAGGAGGGACCTACACCACTTTTCTACGACAGCGAGGCTGCTATTGGCATGGCCAATAATCCCATCCTGAATGGGCTGAACAAGCAGATGAGGATTAAGTGGCACTGGGTGAGGCAGATGGTGAAGGAGGGAGCTGTTGAGCTTCACGATGTGAAGGCTAGCAAGCAGGCGGCAGATTTTCTCACCAAGAGACTTCCCGAGAGCGCACATTGGAAGTGTGCTAAGATGTGTGGCATGGCATTGCACTAGTGAGGGCAGCAGTGTCATGAATGCATGTGTGATTGTGTGCATGAGACCATGTATATGTGTGAGTGTGTGTGCATGCAGTCCGTTAGTCTGAGGGGGAGTTTGTTGGATGCACGTCATTCTGAGTGCATGTCATCCTAACATCATGCCGAGTGCTCGTGCTATTTGTGCTTGCATGATTTGCATGAGTGTATGTCATTGTGCATGGCTGTTGGATATTATCATCTCTGTGTTTTTCTCCAAGTCTAAATGCTTGATCATGCAGGAGAAATCCAGAGCTTTCCAACGACACCAAGATTGCCTTATTCCGACCAAGATCGCCCAAGTTACAAGATTTCCAAGATTTGGATTTCTTATTACCTTTTGGGGTTATATCTAATTTGGGTGATTACTTGGGACATGACTATAAAGGAATCTTTGGTTGGGTGGTTAGGAAGGCAACTTTGACTTTTGGATTGGGGTGGCTAGACGTTTCTAGCATGGGTTGCAAATGTTGCAACACCTAGGCAAAATCCAACTAGATTGGATTTTGCATGTGACACCTCAAGGACCTCATGATGAGGGTTGCATCCTTGCTGCTGGGAAGGTTCCTACCATCCTTCCCTAGCTCTTGGAGAACCCCTTCTCTCTCATGGTTCTCTTGGAGTCCCCAACTCCAACTTTCTATGCTCTAATGCTTGTACTTCCTCCACCATACTAGTCATGCGGCTGCTGGACATTTTTACTTGGTTCTCACTCTATAGGCCATCTTAACGACTGATTCAACTTGGAGATGGTAGCTAAGCCTAAGGCGCAACTTCCTACAAAGCGGATTTGCGTTTAGTTGAGTAATACGTTCGTCGTAAGCTCTCAAAGTGACGGATCCTGAACAACATGCGGCAGCCCCGAGACCGCCCTCCAAAGCACCTGGCGCACCACCCCCAGATTCAGCACCACCAACAGCAACACCCGGAAGACAAGAGTCTCATGCAACCACGGGCTCAGCTCCATTTCCAGCACCCCCAGAGCTAGCACCTGTAGGGCCCTCTCCACGAGCACCGGCTCCCGCAGAGTATGCAGCAAGCTGCGAGGAGGACTGCGGGGAAGGAGGTTGCACCTGAGGGGCTACCGAGGGGGGAGGGGTAGCCTAGGACACCTGACGGGGCGGGACCAAGGGGGGGAGGCTGTACCGGGGGAGCAGGAGAGGGAGCGGAAATCAGGAAGAGAGGGGGAGGAGGAACCGGGAGACCTCGACTGGGGTACCTGACGTAGTAGGGGACTCCTCGAAACGGATGTCACAGGAGTCAAAGAACCGGGGAGAGGGAGGGTGGTAAAATGTGAAGTCAGAGGACTCCTCAGGGAAACCAAGGAAGACACAGGGAACGGCGCGAGGTAAGAGCTTGTCCGCGGAAGTGTCGCGGACAAGAGCCAAGCAACCCCAGACACGAAACCTCGACGCAACAACAGGGGACCCGGTCCAAAGATTGGTCGTTGAAGCCTCTGGCCGAGAGACGCGTGGCCAGGGGTTCAGCTGGTGAGTGGCGTACCTAACCATGTAGGGCCAGAGAAAATGGGGGGCACGGGCGTGAGTCAAGGAGGTGCGGGCGATCTCCATGACCAAGCCTATGCGGCGCTCAGCAACCCCATTCTGCTGTAGGGACTCTAGAACCGTCCATGACTGACGAATGCCCTGCTCGCAACAGAATCCAGCAAGAATGCCGGAGCGAAACTCACCCCCACGGTCAGAGTGAAGACAGCTGACACGACGACCACGAGTGCCCTCAGTGGTACGCAACCACCTGATCAGTGTAGAAGTCACCTCAGACTTCTTCACTAGGGGGAACACTGTGGCGTAGCGGGAGTAGCCGTCAACGACCACAAAAAATAAACGCTCGCGCTCAGGGCCAAGGCGAGGGGCGGGGCCCCAGACGTCCAAGTGGAGCGTCTCAAAAGGCTCGGTGGCCAAACGAAGGGAGGAGTAGTGAGGGGTGGCGCGCAGCCGACCCTCGACGCAGGGACCGCACGGCGGTGCAAGTGAAGGTGGCAGCGACGGCAAGACACGCGGGAGGCCTAAGACAAGACGCTGCCGAGACAGAGCGCGCACACGAGGGAGGGACGGGTGCCCCGTCCGGTGGTGCCACAGAACGCTGGGGTGTGCAAGCAACCGGCAGGAGCACGACGCATCAACTGGACCAAACACGGGAACCTAACCAGACACAGCTACCTGGGGGGACGCAGCAACCTGGTGAGACGCAGGGACCAGACTGGGGGAAGTAACCGGGGCCGGGGGTAGGAGTCGCTGCTGCTGCTGCTGCTACCACTACTGTTGCTGCTCCCGCTGCTGCTGCTGCTGCTGCTGCTGCTGCTGCTGCTGCTGCTGCTGCTACTGCTGCCCACCAGGGCCAATGTGAAGTTTGTAGAAACCAGAGCCCGGCTCGGCAGTCAAGGTGGCAAGAGGCGAGTAAGTGGCGCCGTCAACACAAACCGCCGTCTCTCCAGAGGGCTCAATCCACACACCCACATGCTGACTCACAAGAGGCCTCACGCCCACCAAGTTCCTTGAGAACGAGGGGATGTGGAAGTCAGTCAGAGACCCAAAGGGAACAGCAGGGCAAGGAAGAGTAGTAGTGTAGCAAGCAGTGACTGGTCCCGAGGTGGGATCAGCCAGGGCTACAGAGACTGGCGCAGGAAGTGGAGTAAGTGTCGTGTGGTCGTGGAAGAAGCAGTGCGAAGCCCCAGAGTCCAGAGTGAAAGACAGCGAAGCGTCCTCCGAAGTAGCACCTGGACTAGTGTCTACACAAGTGCCTACACTAGCAACAGGCAACTCAGCAAGACTAGCACCTAAGCTAACAACACTCGAGAAAGCAGAGTCAGAAGCACTAGAGTGAACAACAACATACATAGCATGAGGAGTTCCTAAGAGATCAAGCAACTGAGAAGCAGACATGCCCCAAAGAGCGGAGCCGTACGTCTGAACAAGAAGTAACCAGTCAGGGGCAGGGCCGCCAACGCCGAAGGCCAAGCGAACCGTGTCAGTGAAGTGAGCAAATCACTGACCAGGAGGGTGGGTGCGGCCACAAGGCTGGCCTCGGCGAGCACCTATCAGGATCTGATAGGTGCACAAAGGGTGAACAACACCTCGCTGGGGCGGTCGCTGTCCCAGCCCCGGAACCTGCTACTCCCGCTACTGCTGCGGGGGCTGCTGCAAGGGGAGGGGCTGCTGCTCCTGCACCTGCTGCTGCAACTGGGCCAGGTACCACGCCGCTGCTCCACCCACCGCA